AGAGGAGAGGAAGAGGAGGAGAGGAAGGAGAGGAAGAGGATGAGAGAAAAGAGGAGAGGAAGAGGAGAGGAGGAGAGGAAGAGGAGGAGAGAAAAGAGGAGAGGAAGAGGAGAGGAGGAGAGGAAGAGGAGAGTAAAAGCTTCATCACTGGCAGGAATCTGTGTTCAGGTCAAATGAAGCTCTGACAGTGATTAGATTTTATTTAGTGATAAACTGAATTCTGCAGAAGCTTTGGTTTAAAACCAGAGAGACACATGGAAAGACTCAAACAGGAAAACGATTCCACTGATCTATATGTTCTATCTACTGATCGTTATTATTGATCACTTTATTGTGAACTCTTTTGTCCCTGTCAGGATCCTGTAGGAATGATGACTCAGTTTTTCCAGTGATTTGATTGGTCAGTAGTTTGGCTGTGAAGTTAACCTGCGCCGGAGCAGGTTAGGAGTTCAGAATCAGTTACCATGGTGATTTACCCTGGTAACAAGTGAACCACCGTCGTAGGACTGAAAACCCAGAGTTACACCTGAAGTTACCTGCTGACCTCAGATCCTGCTTCGTAGTGCAGACCTCTGCTGTGACACCAACAGCTGGTCATAGACGTAAATATAACCCTCGTTAGTTCCCTCATCAAGTCTCATCAGTGACTTGTGGTAATTGCTGCTGTGTCACATCTGTGCAGCGCTCATTAAAAAATACTCTGGAGGAGAGAAAACACTGTTTCCTTTCCTGTTGCTGCTGTAACGGGTGAATGTGAAGAGTCACGTTACTTTAACGACGTCAGGTTGTTGGTTGGTTCGTCTTTTCTTCTGTGTGATTATCAGTCAACTGCCAGTTTCCTGTTGCATCTGTTCAACATCCTTTTTTTGCTGCTTGTTGTGACAATGTGAAATAGTGTTGAGGAGTCACAACCACATCGTTGCTGTTTGACAGTCGGACGTTCTCTCTCGTGAGTTTTATATTTATTCATTCTCGGTCTCTTTTTCTTTTTCTTTTAATCATATTTGTTTGTGTTTGTTTCTTTTTCTCTTTCTGACGTCCTGGAATTAATGGAGTTAATCTGATTGGACGCTGCAGTTTCAGACTGACGTTTCTTCACACTGTGAAAACAGAAGCTCTTCAGTGTTTCTTTTCTATCTTCTATCATCTGTTTTCTCAGTTTGTCCTTCAACATGTCAACATTATTATTTTGGTCTGATAACATGATGTAAGAGAGTATGAGGCTGCTGTGTAGAGTTTACACCTTTAAATAAATCATTTCATGTTCTAAAACTGAACACAGACGTAAAAGTTAAAGATTAGTCAGTGTACAGACTCCTTCTGTCTTTATCGGTCTTTATCTGTCGAGTGTGTTAACTGCAGTTCTTTCTTCAGACTGAGGCAAGACGTGTTAGATAACGCTGGACTTCCCCTGTCAGACTCAAGATTAAAAGATTAATGGCAGTGAATGTACAAAGACCTTTAGGAATCATCACTACATATTGTACGAAAGAGGTGAGATGTATCTGAGTTCACTTTAATGATATTGATACTGTATCCTGAGGGACACAGTGTGAGAGTATTAAATAAACCACATTGACTTTATCTGTGGTTTCATCTCATCATCTGCCTCGTCTGTTCTTCACGTTAGAGCAGCTTCATCGTTATTTCATCCACAGTAACGAGCTGCTGCTGCAGAGCTCTGTGACGGTTACACTGAATTATTATAGGCTGTTTTTTTAACTGTGGAGAAAAGTAGATATAATTATTATTATGTAGTACAGTAACTCTGGAACACACACACACACACACACACACACACACACACACACACTCGTCAGACTGTAACTCTCATTATTGATCTGAAAACAACAGTGTTGGATTAGAAACATATTTACAGAGGAGTTTTCTAAAGCTGGGCCTGGATCAGCTGTTCTCTGTCTGAGCCGGACCGTCAGTGCTGGTCTTCTGTACGTGTGTGGGTCGGTGCTGTAACGCTGGTGTCCAGTAGGAGGTGGTGTCATGTTCAACCAACTGCAACAAAGCAAAAATGTAGAAGAGACAAGAACAAATGTCACTGAGTGAAGGTGGAAACAAACAACAACACTCATTAACGTAGAAGAGCAGAACAAAGACTAGATGAGGATGACAGGAACTTCCTGTCAGATGATGGATCGACCAATCAGCTCGCTTGATGCAAAGGTCTGCACATGTTGAGGTGTGCAGGACATTAGCTCCTGCGTTACCCATAATACCCTTCTCTGTAGTGCATCCTGTGTGTGTGTGTGTGTGTGTGTGTACAGTATGTCATATATATATATATATATATATAAATATAGATGAGCAGCTATGGAAATGTATCTGAGCACCTCCCTGTTTATCTTTGTTGAACTGGAACTCAGAAGCATAATTCCACTTTTAATGGTCATTAGCTTGAATTTCACATTCTTGGTTTTTTGTGTATTAAAATAGTTTCTCAGGATGTAGCAAGTGTTTTTCAAAGATATATATATATAAATATAGATGAGCAGCTATGGAAATGTATCTGAGCACCTCCCTGTTTATCTTTGTTGAACTGGAACTCAGAAGCATAATTCCACTTTTAATGGTCATTAGCTTGAATTTCACATTCTTGGTTTTTTGTGTATTAAAATAGTTTCTCAGGATGTAGCAAGTGTTTTTCAAAGAACCTCAAAGTTAACGGACATGTCAGCGGCCATACTTTTAGGAGAAATGATAAATATATTGAAAATATAAAATAGTGAGCCTCTTTCTTTTACATTAACAAAATAAACAGCTTTTGATTTTGAATTTTTTTTTGACAATAGAATAATTTAAAAAATACAAATTGGGCTTTAACAAACTGTGAGGGGCATTATGGGTAAAATTAGTTTTGATACTTCCCATAGAAACTGATGGAGTAATGGAGCTCCACTGCAATGACCTGGGGTCAGACAGGAAGTCATGTGACTGATGTAGATCTGTGACGTACAGAGCAGCTGATGTGACTAACCACAGAACTGAGAACTGACTCCGGTTAAACCTGATCACCACAGGTCTGAACCAGAACCAGCAGCAGACCAGCTGAGTCTGGACCCGGTCTCCACCTCAGACCGTCAGACAGGACGCGTTGATAAAGTCTCTGAGATCCGGCTGGACTCTGAGCCACAGAAGATCCACGTGGTCCCGATCCACCGGCGTCCGGACCTGCTGGTCCCCTGTGCGGACCTGGTCAACTCTGAGTGGCAGAGGAGTCAGGCGGCCCGGGTCCACTCCCTCCAGAAGTCCGGTCCAGAGTTTCCCGTCTGCCTGGTTCTCCTGCAGGGCCACAGAGAGACAGAGAGGCTGCTGGGACACGTCCGTCTGTCCCGGGTCGTGGGTCACGGCGGCAGTCTGTTCGTGGAGTCGGTGGTCGTGTCCAGGGCAGAGCGGGGGAGGGGCTACGGCCGGACTCTGATGGAGGAGGCGGAGCGTTACGCCAGAAAACGTGGATTCAGACGTCTGTGTCTGACCACACACGATAAGCAGCACTTCTACTCACACCTGGGCTACGTGCTGTCCACGCCGGTGCAGAACGCAGGCGCCATGACGTCATTCGTTCCCATGGAGACACTGCTGAAGTTCTCCAGGATGGACACGCAGAAACAATCTGGGACAAACATGGAGGCTCCAATAAAACAAGAGAACAGGGACTCAGAGGGGTCACCCCCTCCTGCTAGTTTACCTCCCCCTCCTCCCCCTCCTCCTCCCTTCCTCAGTCCTCTTCCTCCTTTCTCTTCCACCCCTAATCCTCCCCCACCACCACCTCCTCCCTTCCTCCCTCCCCCTCCTCCCCCTCAGTCTTCAGGACAGCTGACAGTCCAGACTCTGACTGAGACTCCCTACAGAGACGCTAAAGGAGTTCCCATCTTCTGGATGCACAAAGACATTTGATGAACACAGTCAGAACACACATGAACACATGAACACATGAACACATGAACATTCAGGGTTGATGTTCAGACCCAGAAACAAGAGGAGAAGCAGAGTCTCAGTGAACCAAAGGAACATCGATCCTCCTCTGTTCGTCACGAGGTCTTTGTTTCACTCGTTTACAGCCACGGCCTGAAGCTCATGACTTCATGTTCAACTCAAACACTTGGACAAATTTCAAACTAAGATGCTGTATTTTACAACCTGCCTCTTATTTTGACAGGTTCGTGTTCTGGTTGTAGTTCAGGTTCAGGTTCAGGTTCAGGTTCAGGTTCAGGTTCAGGTTCAGGTTCAGGTTCTGGTTCTGGTTCTGGTTCAGGTTCAGGCTCTGGTTGTAGTTCTGGTTCAGGTTCTGGTTCTGGTTCAGGTTCAGGTTCTGGTTGTAGTTCTGGTTCAGGTTCTGGTTCTGGTTCTGGTTCAGGTTCAGGTTCAGGTTCTGGTTGTAGTTCTGGTTCAGGTTCAGGTTCTGGTTCTGGTTCTGGTTCTTATCAGAAACTTTAAAATAAAAACAAAGGTGAATCTCAAAGTTGTCAGCTCAGACTCTTCACTGGTTTGATGATAATAAAAACCCGTTCAGGTTCTGGTTCAGGTTCTGGTTCTTATCAGAGACCATCAGAATAAAAACCAGTTGAGGTTCTGGTTCTGGTTCTGGTTCCTTCAGCTCTCGTGGTTTAGATGAGTTTGTAGTGAGGATCCGCAGCAGAGAGTCAAACAGGAAGGATGAAAACTGTTTTAATAAGAAGCAGGTTGTAAAAGTTTCTGAAATACTTGAACAAAGTGATAATTAATCTTCAGTAAATATTTTTCCCTCTGCTGAAAGACTGAAGCAGTGAACCGATCTGGACCTCCACGTGTTCAGTGTGTTTCGACTGAATGAATCCTGGAACCTGAATTAAGTTTATAAGATTTATTACATTAATGAAACTGATTCAATAACGTCTGAAATAAAGAGAATTTGATGAAAATATTCTTTTGTTTGTTTTTATTTTTACATTTTATTTAATTATCTGAGTGTAAACAACCAGTTAATGTGTTTGTTTCATTTACAACGACAGTTTGTGTTTATATTAAGATATATTATATCCCCCCCCCAGGAAGGACACGTCAGTGGAAGAGCAGCCATGCTGCTGTCTCACCTCCCTCTCCTCCTCCTCCTCCTGCTCCTCTCCCCCCTCCCCTGTTCCTCACTGTCATGGAACTCCACCCATGGAGATCCAGTCCTCCTCACCCCCCCGCCTGCTGTGGCTGCAGCAGGTCCGGTTCTTCAGGACCGGCCGTTCGTGGTGGTGTGGAACATGCCCACAGCTCGATGTCAGAAACGCTTCAACATCCACCTGAACCTGCAGGACTTTGACATCGTGGAGAACAGACAGCAGAGGTTCCAGGGACAGGTGACTGATATTCACTTATTCTAAGTCATTTTCTACCATTATCACATACAAACGACATTATTTCAAATCTATATGTATTGTGTGTTTAATGATATAGAAGTGAAAACCCCTGCTGCAGGGAGAGATGAGCTGAAACATCTGTTTTACTCTGCCTGAATCAGCACGGACATCAGGGAACAGCTGTTTGTTGCTGTGGTCAGTGGTCTGGCTGCTAGCAGTAGCCATGTTGTTAGTACCACTGCTAGCATCCAGATGATGATCCATTGATAATTTAAACAGACACGTGTCCTGCGCTGACTTTTCTAAAATGAGCAGTGGCGAAACAGACCAAGTTCTTCTTTGTGACAACATTAAAGCCTCTTGGAGGAAACTTGTCTATAGACCATATTCACACGGCGGTCATTTTCCTCTGACGTCAGGCTGAGGGCGGGAAGCCTTGAACTTCCTTTGACCATATTGATTAATGGGCAGATGAATGTTCCAGATGTTGAAGGTGAAGACCGGCCCACACTGGACACACTAAGCTAATGCTAGGCTAGTTGTCAGATGACACATGAATCCACTGTCTTGTGCAAATGTTAAACATGAACTAATGTCCGGTTTCATAATCAACCTGCATCAGTGATACAGTCATATGACAGTGGAGCATCACTGCTAACTTCACCAGGTGAAGAGATGCCAGGGCAGCTAATGCTACATGGCTAGCTTGACTCCATCCAGTGTGTTTCACTTCCAGACTGAACTGAACGTGTCTGAGATCTGTGTTGATGTTTCACAATTCATTGATTTCTTTCCTCTTGTATCATGTAGCTGTCAAACTGTAATTAGCTAAGAGGTGGTTGAATGCTAACGTTAGCCGAAGCTAATGGTTTATCAAGTCTGTGGACGTCTCTTCAGATTTTCATCATCCATTGTCTTTCCTGTTGCTCGCTGATCAAATGGAAACTACTTGTCAGTCTCTATGTTTATATCTGTGACCTGGAACCAGCAGGATGACATCATCCTTTCAGTGAGAGGATTTGAGCTTCCCACAACATGGCCGCCGTGTGAATATGGTTTAGTCAAAAATCAGTCAAAAAAAAGAAAAGAGCTAAAAGAGGCTGAAAAGCTGAGAACAGTGTTGTGATGATTCTGTGTTTCCAGAACATGACCATCTTCTACCGGGACCGCCTGGGGAGATATCCGTACCTGTCCAGAGATGGCAGGAAGGTCAACGGAGGAGTACCTCAGCTTGGTGACCTCACCGCGCACCTCTCCCTCTCCGAGGAGCAGATCTCCGGCCTCCTGCAGCCCGACTTCTCAGGTTTAGCCGTGATCGACTGGGAGGAGTGGCGGCCGCTGTGGGAGAGGAACTTCGACTCCAAGAAGGCGTACAGGAAGCTGTCCAAGCTGCTGGTGAGACAGGAGAGACCGGACCTGTCCGGCAGGGCCGTGACATCGCTGGCGAAGCAGAGGTTTGAGGAGAGCGCTCGGAGGTTCATGGAGGAGACGCTGCGGGCGGCGGTCAGAGGTCACCCCAGGGGATTGTGGGGATTCTACGGTTTTCCTGCCTGTTTCAATAAACACAAGAGGAAGCCAGGTACAAACACTGTGTCTACACGGAGTGATCTCCTCCAAGGTCACGATATATATTTATACACATTCAGTCATTTTTAAACATTACTGTGATGAGACGAAGTCGCTGGAAACTTTAACTGTCATTAAAACAAAAACTTCATGTTTTACCCCGAACACAAATGTAACATATGTTCATATAAAATAAAAACATATGTAAAAATTAATTAATTATTAAACCTTTTAGAAACTGGAACGATTTCATATATCAACATATATGTCTGGCCCTTTATGTATGTATGATTATATTGCAGACATATGTGATGTTGATGTTATACACTGTGAGGTCCAAAAGTCTGAGAACACTTTCCTAGAATGGACATTAAAATTAAAATCAAATTAAAATGAAAAAGAACTTAATTAGAAAAACATATATAAGCATGTAGAATGTACTTTGTTTGAATAAGCATGCATATATATATATATATATATATTTATAAAATATAAAATGTTAACATATACGGTCACATGTTATACCATATAAAAATACATCATTTATATGTTTTTAATATATGTACATATGTTAGGCCTGTGTCTTGCTTCATGTGATCAGATCAGAGTTACACAGGACGCTGTCACAGAGGGACGAGGCGGCTGAACGACCGGCTGTCCTGGCTCTGGACTCAGTCCACTGCTCTGTACCCCAGTGTCTACCTGCCCCAGAGGCTGGCCGGGTCCCAGGACGCCACTCTGATGGTCAGGTACAGAGACCTGTTCACCTGTTCACCTGTTCACCTGCGTCTGTCACAAACAGCTGAGGATCAAAAACACTGAGATTTAACAAGTGTTCATCTACAGCACGTTCAGCTACTGAAGGATTCTCTTCTTCTTCACTCAGACACAGACTGCTGGAGGCTCTGAGGGTGGCGGCACTTTGGCGCCATGGCAACAACACCAGCCACAGCACGCCAGTTCTTTCCTACTCCAGACTGGCTTTCACACACACACTCAGCTTCCTGAACGAGGTAGGAGATCCATCACAGCATCGACACGGAAACCATATTGTTAACAGTTTAATATACTGTGTGTGTGTGTGTGTGTGTGTGTGTGTAGACAGACCTGGTGCACACACTCGGGGAGAGTGCTTCACTCGGAGCTGCTGGAGCGGTGCTGTGGGGGGAGCTGAAATTTGCCAAATCCAAGGTGTGTAAAGTGTGTGTGAGGTAATTTTTATGTGTGTGTGTGTGTGTGTATGTGACCCTCTCTCCTCCCCCCCCCAGCATCAGTGCATCCTCCTCAGAGACTACATCCTCACAGTCTTGGGTCCCTTCGTACGCTCTCTGAGGTCAGACACTCGGCGCTGCAGCCATCAACTTTGCCACGGCAACGGGCGCTGCACCAGGCGACGCCCCACCTCTGGTCACATGGTTTCTTCAGGTCCTGCTAAGACCTCAGACCCTCATGACCCCCCCAGTGTCAAACTTCTTCACAACCACTTCATGTGTCAGTGCTACCCGGGCTGGACGGGACAGGAGTGTCGAGAGGAGACGAAGAAGTAACTCAAACTGAACATGAGGTGTTCACGTTGTAATAAAAACACATGAAAATCATTAAATACATTTGTGAATTTATCTGTTTATTTTTGTTTATTTTAATAAAGGTGAAGGTCACATATAAATCCATAATACAAAAATATTACAGTAAGTTTACATGGAGGAAAATGCTGGGAAGCAGAGATCTCAGTTTTTACCTACACCACAGCTACAGGAAACACTGAGGCTAATGAGGCTAATTAACAGACGGCATTAATCACTACAGGAGTCTGCTCTCTTTGTTAATTAGAGCTGAACGACTTCCTCACACAACCAACAGAACATGGACGTTAAACTGAATGCAGCATTAATGAACAACAATTCAAACATGAAGAAGAGTGGTGAATTTAACGTTCTCACTGTCTAAAACATTTCATGACTCAGATCTTTGAAATCTGTCTCGCCGGTAAAATTAAATTAAAATGTGTTTCTTGTGCCAGAAATGGCGGCCATTTTGAATATTTTTAAATTTGAAGGGGCTAATGGGATTTTTCAGATGAACGTCTCCAGAGGAATTAACAGACTGATCCGGGTGCTGAGAGATTATTACAGTTTTCTGCTGCACTAATATTAAAAGTGAACATCAGGTGTGTTCGGTCTCCTGTGCAGGTGTCCCTCATGTCCGTCCTCTCGTCGCTGTCAGGTTGTGTCTCAGTGCCTGCAGCTCTTGGATCAGTAGAGACAGCTCTGTGGCTGCAGCCTCTTTCTCCCTCACTGCCTCCGTCAGCATCCGGATGGCGCCGCCCTGCTGGACTGGAGGAGGAGCAGACACAGTGTGGTCACACATCAGGAAACATCTGGATGAAGAAATGAAAGTGGAAGAATCAGACGTCTCACCCAGGAAGTAGAAGATGAGGAACACAGTTAGCAGGAGCAGAGTGATGATAGCACAGCCCAGCGCGTACGCTCGAGATGAACTGGGCGTCAACATGTCCTGCAGATGGCTCTGCCATTGGCTGCTGACAGGAGGACCTCTTTGATTGACAGCTGTGATGTCACGAGTGAAGAGGTTTCCATTGGGAGACGGTGTGTAAGCAGGACGAGGAGGCCGCGTCCCTGAAAACACAGACTGTCAGAGAGAGAGAGAGAGAGTGTGTGTGCGTGTGTGTGTGTGTGCGTGTGTGTGTGTGTGTGTGTACCTTTGTGTTCGTGGTGTGTTCGATGCAGGTCGTTGATGGAGTCCACAGAGTGAAGCTCGATCTCCGTCAGGTCTCTGTCACTGACCCTGTAGAGCTGGGGGGTCGTCTGAGAGGAAGGAGGCCTCGACATCTCTCCACCTCTGGAGGAGAGAAGAGATGAGGAGATGAGGAAGAGATGAAAGAGAAAAAGAGAAGAAGAGATGAAAGAGATGAAGAGATGAAGAGAAGAAGAGAAGAAGACATGAAGAGATGAAGGTGGCACTCATCAACTCCTCTCTTCAGGTGAATATATTCTGTAGCTCTCCACAGTGTTAGCTTCCAGACGCCATGAGAGCTAACAGCATGTAGCTCAGTACAGAACCAACCAGCTGCTCTGACTGAAGGACACAAGTTTATTATATGTTATGATGAGTTTATTGATCCACTGAGATCATGTTTGAGGGAAGTGGACTCTCTTTCTCGCTCATTTACAATTTGTAATGAAGAATTTCTCCTGTTCACTTGCATCTGTAGCAGAAGTGAACGTGTGAGTGATGGCAGCTGTTGTGATGTGTTCACAGTACACAGTAAACTCTATCCGCAGCTTGTTGTTGGACTCACTGCTGTTGGTTCTGTTGGAGCCTCGTTCACTCTGATCTCAGTCTCACATCAGAGTAATGGACATCAGGACGTGGTGACCGGAGACTGGAGGAGAATGGTTGTAAGGATGTCTCATGAGCGGGAAAACAGATCAGATCGGCTTCTATTAAAACAAACAGGTCATGTGACCAGTTGATTTATCAGAGCTATTATTAGAGCTGGTGGTCAAACCCATAAAGACATAATGCTGCTGGAATTTGAATCAGGGACCAAAGGACAGGCTCCTTACTAATGACTGACTGACTGAATGGATGATTAACTGGACTGACTGTTCTCACACACTGAACACAGCTCAGATGAACAGTTGACGCTCTGTCACTCACCTCCTGTCACCATGAAGAAGAGCTGTTATCTACGTGTTTGTTCTGCAGCGACCGCAGAACAGCACCAGGTGTAAAGATCCTCTCAGAGATCCACTGAGCTCCAGCGCTGAGGAAGTGACTCCAGTCAAACCCTACATGTGTGAAACTCAGGGAAGCTCCAGGTTTCAGGGTCCTGGTCGTCAGAGTGTGTGTCACTGAGCAGCTGTAGCCCCCCCACTCCCCCCTCACACTAACTATGTTTGTGTGTGTCCATGTTCCAGTTTAGCCCACCCCAGCTGCCCTGTGAGAGAGGTCGAGAGAGCTAGAGACATGGAGAGAGAGGGGGAGTCTTCTCAGCCCCATTACCCCCCCCCCCCCCACATGTACACCCCCTCCAGGCCTGAAATAGCAGCAGAGACATGGAGTATTATTAGATCTTCAGGATGACTCAGGGTGGAGGGCATGATGGGATACACAGGGATAAACACACAGAAACCCATAGGACAAATATCACTGGAGATATTAGATAGAGAGATAGATGGGGGGGGGGTTCTTCTGTGGTAAACATGGTGTTTCACTGTTGATGAGCACATCAACATCCCAAGTTCCACGACTGTAATTAAAGATGGATGTCACCTCTGTGACGTCACCTGCAGGCTTCTGAAGCTCAGAGTGAGCTGCTCATCTGTCGCCATCTTGGCAGTGTCTGACTCTGCCACAAAAAACAACACAGAAAAATACTTTTGTACAAGTTTGTTTAATGTCCTTCTCTGGGTTTTGTTTAAAATTCACTGTTTCAGACAATAACAGAGAATGTATTTATTTTCACAGGAAACTTGAAGCAACAGTAAAACATATAACGGTTCTGAGTTCTGTTGTAGAGAACCTTTGGTTCTGTCTGAAGCTACAGAAAGAGCTGCGGCAGGAAGAAAATGAAAAATGTATTTATCACCTGTGCACTGCTACTGCAAAAAACAAACGTTATTAATTGTTATAGTTAAAGTTGTCTGTTTATAAATAAAGTTATTAAATTATTATTATTATCATTATCATTATTTTATTTTAATTTTTTTTCAAATTTAATTTAATTTAATTTAATTAAATCGTTTTTTTTTTATCATTATTAAAGTTACTGTTTGATCCTGGTCAACTTTTCTCAGCCACAGTGATCATTCTAAAAATAAACCTATGTGCCACTTTAGCATTAGCTTAGCATTAGCCCACTAAACCAACACATGTTAACACAATGAGCTGTTGAGCTGAAAATCACCATTTATTTAGAGTCCAGTGAAGGCACCACTCATTAGCATCATAAAGCTCGACAGGGCAAACAGACTACATCGACTACATTTCCCACAAGTCTTTGCTCGTTCCTTCAGTCGCCTCCGCTCATCTGTGTTTTGCCAGGAAAGCAGAAACTCCAAGAGTTTCACAGCGGAAGTGTTCGTCTTCCAGGAGCCGAGAGAGAGACAGACTTCAGCGGGACTCAGGTGGCATGATGTCGGCTCGGCTGCTGGTTGGGGTCGGGACTTCGGGGCTCGGGTTTCGGGCTTCGAGAGACGGTTTGCTGCGGGGCTGTGGAGCTGGATGTGCGGGCAGGAGGCAGCAGCAGAGACGGGCTTCAGGTGCAGAGGTCAGTGTCGGTTCACTTCTGTCACTGCGGGTTAAACTGAGAGAAACGTCCCAGTCTCATCTTCAGCTGGAAGTTCTCAGGATGAAGTGAGAGGCTGTGGAGCTGTCTTCATGTTTGACCTGTAGTTCAGAAACATCAGAATAAATCCCTGTTTTACAGTAAGAACGTGTCTCAGCAGCAGCAGCTAGTTCAGGTCAGTTGATGCAGACATAATGTTCATCAGTTCCCGCTTCACTGAGCTGCAGATGATTTTATTAAAACCACGAGTCACTGAGTCTAAAGCTCTGCCAGCTCCGACTGAGCCTCATGACAGGCCGTGAAGTGAGACTGTACATGTGGCCACATTCATCCGTTCACTCTGTGGCCGCATTCATCCGTTCACTCTGTGGCCGGATTCAGAGTGAACTTTATTGTCCTTCACACCAAACAACAGAGTCTCAGCAGTGAAACTGTATTTTCTCCTAAAGATCAGAAATATATAAATGTATAAATATAAAAATACAAACACAACGCCATAGACATGTGACAGGACATAACAAATAGAGCAACATGTAATAATCCAGTGCTGATGTGATGGACATTGAATTATTGTAGGGGAAGTTGTGAATGAAATAATGAATCAGACGTCAGTAACATCGTTTATTATCTGTAAAAACTTTCAGTCAAACACAATAGATACAGATAGAAAAGACTAAAGTCCTGACCATGTGGATAACACTAATCTGTAGTAGTTCATTGTGTGTGTGTGTGTGTGTGTGTGTGTGTGTGTGTGTGTGTGTGTGTGTGTGTGTGTGTGTAGATTACAACCACAACAACCACCTCCTCTGTTATTAATATGTGACTTTGGACTTGCACAGTTTTGTAAAAAGCAGTTCACTCTTATGTAAAGTGCTAACACACTCTATCCCATAATGCACTGCTGCTGCTGCACTGATAAGCCCCCCTCACTGGCCGGTTCAAAGGTCAAAGGTCAGAGTATAAAGAAGAGAACACAGTAGAAACGAGACTGTCATCACTGTCACATGTAACATCCTGTTCATGAAGTTTCATCTGTGAGAGATTTGATCTGTTCTGTTCTCCCACAGCAGAGATCAAACTGATCCTCGCAGTAGAGATAAATCGATCAATCAGTAAATCAATCAATAAATCATATTAGAAATAAGTGAATGAAAAAACATCTTTCTGAACCTGAACATGCTGTTTTTCCTACATCCTCCCTGTAAACGGAGCATTAGACTTGAGTCACTCCAGTTCCCCGTGTCTCTGTTACTTTTTCCACTCAACAGTGTTGTGTTTTCCCAGGCGGCCTTGAAGAGGACCCCCCTGTTTGACTTCCACAGACGGCACGGGGGGAAGATGGTGGAGTTTGCGGGCTGGGCCATGCCCGTCCAGTATAAAGACAGTCACATCGCCTCACACATGCACACCAGAGAGCACTGCTCCATCTTCGACGTCAGCCACATGCTGCAGGTGAGACGACGAGACGCTCAGACAGACGCAGGAACACGACTTTGATCTTTAATATCCTGCTTTTATTTCTGCTTTTAATCTCTTCATTCATCTCCTCTGGTTTTATTTTATCTTTATCTTCATTGTTTCCTCAGTCCCTCTTATTATTGTCTTATTTTTGGTCTTTTATTTATTACTTGTGTGTGTGTGTGTGTGTGAGGTGGTTGTTTTTATTTATTAATCTTTTTATTGCTTTTATTCTGTGAAGCACTTTCTGTTATGTTGTTTGTATGAAAAGTGATATACAAATAAAGTTAAAGTTAACAAATACACACATGCAAACTCACACACATATGTAGACGCACATCATCATAGTTTTTATTTATTTATTTTTGCATTTTTAAAATACACAGAAATGACAAAGGGACCGTCTTTGTACTGAACTGTTTGTTGTTCCTGTCAGACCAAAGTCCACGGCAGAGACAGGGTGAAGTTCATGGAGTCTCTGGTGGTGGCAGATATCCAAGAACTGAAGGACAACCAGGTGAGATGAAGCTGCGTCACCTGACCGTCTACCTGTGACAGTCACATGCAGCAGATCCAGGGTGGAGGTTCTGACTCATGTTAGAGGAGAACATCTGTCTGTACAGCTGTGAGATGCCTCACTGTGTCAACTGTGTGGTGCTGAGCAGGTCTGAGAACATCTCTGTGGTCATGTGATCCACTGTCAATATAAAGACATTGATTGATAGATTGATTGTCTGGTCTCCTCCTGGTTTGTTCTCACTGTGTTTGGAGCTGCTTCAGTTTCTCAGCTGAGTTCACAGCTTCATTGTTCTTAATGATTTATTCAATAAATACCTGGATTAGAAACAACCAGCAGCTGCTTCAGTGGAGAGGACAGTGATGGGAGGCGACTGGAAAACATCAGAACATCTGGAATTGTCTATAATTTAATTATCACACAGACTTTTATATGATAAGTTTGATTTTTTCACCTTTTCCTCATTTAAACTTTCACTGATAAATGATGATAAATGATTTATCAGGTAATTATTAGAATAATAATTCAATTAAAGAGTCCTAGAATAAGGAAACATCTTGTTCTCTGCCCCCCCCCCCAGGGTACGTTGTCCCTCTTCACCACTGAGAGAGGAGGGATCATTGATGACCTCATCGTGACAAAGACAGACCAGGGTTACCTGTACGTGGTCTCCAACGCCGGCTGTGCCGACAAGGACTCCGCCCACATGAAGGTGAATACAGATGAACAGAGTGTGGACAGACAGCAAGACAGTGTCTGACTGTGTGTGTGTGTGTGTGTGTGTGTGTGTGTGTGTGTGTGTGTGTGTGTGTGTGTGTGTGTGTTCCCTGTAGGCCAGACTGGCAGAGTTCAAAGCAGCAGGTTTTGATGTGGATCTGGAGTTTCTTGATGAAGCTCTGATCGCTCTGCAAGGTAAGATTTTCTTTCTTTCTTTCTTTCCCTCCCTCTACTTTATTAATTTTTTTAATAATTTCATCTTTTGCCATCTGTTCTTTGTTCTTTTATTTCACTCTCTCCTCTTTTAATCTTGAGCTAATTAACAGTGTGAGTCCTCCCCTCTCCATGTCTTAGATTACAGATCATTGATTATCTGTGTTGTCAGGTCCCTCCATGTCGCGGGTTCTCCAGGAGGGGCTGAAGGAAGACCTCAGTAAGCTGACCTTCATGACCTCGGCCCTGGCCGCTGTGTTTGGTGTCCCTGGCTGTAGGATCACTCGCTGTGGATACACCGGAGAGGACGGGGTGGAGGTGGGGCTCCGTCTTCTTCTCTTGTTGACATTGGACAAATAAATGTGATTGACAGAGACGTGACTGATGGAGGAAACGTCAGAGGATCGTTGAGTCTTAGGATTCATGAATGTCTCTAGTCCATCCAACATCCTGAGACCTGGAGCTGTGTTAGCCGAGCCGCTAACGTAGCTAATCAACAGTGTAATGGTTAATCGCTCTATGTCCATAAAGACCAGAGATGTTTCATATTCTCATATTCTGTTTCCTGTTCAGAACCAGCTCTAAAGCTCCTGGTGTCTCTGTCTCTCTTTGTCTCTGTCTTTCTTTGTCTCTGTGTTTCTGTCTCTCTCTCTGTCTCTCTTTGTCTCTGTGTTTCTGTCTCTCTCTGTCTCTCTCTGTCTCTCTTTGTCTCTGTGTTTCTGTGTCTCTCTGTCTCTCTCTCTCTTTCTTTGTCTCTGTGTTTCTGTCTCTGTCTGTCTCTCTCTGTCTCTCTCTCTCTCTGTCTCTCTTTGTCTCTGTCTCTGTGTTTCTGTCTCTCTTTGTCTCTGTCTCTCTTTGTCTCTGTGTTTCTGTCTCTCTCTGTCTCTCTCTCTCTCTCTTTGTCTCTGTGTTTCTGTCTCTGTCTGTCTCTCTCTGTCTCTCTTTGTCTCTGTCTCTCTCTCTTTGTCTCTGTGTTTCTGTCTCTCTCTGTCTCTCTCTCTTTGTCTCTGTGTTTCTCTCTCTGTCTCTCTTTGTCTCTGTCTTTCTTTGTCTCTGTGTTTCTGTCTCTCTCTCTGTCTCTCTTTGTCTCTCTCTCTCTCTCTCTTTGTCTCTGTCTCTCTCTGTCTCTCTTTGTCTCTGTCTCTGTGTTTCTGTCTCTCTTTGTCTCTGTGTTTCTGTCTCTCTCTGTCTCTCTCTCTCTCTCTTTGTCTCTGTCTCTCTCTCTTTGTCTCTGTGTTTCTGTCTCTCTCGGTCTCTCTCTCTGTCTCTCTTTGTCTCTGTGTTTCTGTCTCTCTCTGTCTCTCTCTCTTTGTCTCTGTGTTTCTCTCTCTGTCTCTCTTTGTCTCTGTCTCTCTTTGTCTCTGTGTTTCTGTCTCTGTCTCTCTCTCTCTCTTTGTCTCTGTGTTTCTCTCTCTCTCTCTCTCTCTCTTTGTCTCTGTCTCTGTGTTTCTGTCTCTCTTTGTCTCTGTCTCTCTTTGTCTCTGTGTTTCTGTCTCTCTCTCTGTCTCTCTTTGTCTCTCTCTCTCTCTGTCTCTCTCTCTTTGTCTCTGTGTTTCTCTCTCTGTCTCTCTTTGTCTCTGTCTCTCTCTCTTTGTCTCTGTGTTTCTCTCTCTGTCTCTCTTTGTCTCTGTCTCTCTCTCTCTCTCTTTGTCTCTGTGTCTCTTTGTCTCTGTGTCTCAGATCTCCGTCCCTCAGTCCAGAGTGGTGGAGCTGACAGAGAGGCTGCTGGGTAACAGCGAGGTGAAGCTGGCCGGTTTGGGTGCCAGGGACAGTCTGAGGCTGGAGGCGGGGCTTTGTCTCTATGGCAACGACATAGACGAGACCACCACACCTGTGGAGGCGACGCTGGTCTGGACCATAGGTGAGGCTTTACCTCATCGTGTTTTATCAGTAGTTTCTGTCTTTGTGGCAGGTTGTGGTGGAACAGGTGAACAGGTGAGTTTACAGATTCACATGAACACAGAGACTCAGAGACATGTGGTCCACAGACGTGCAGTGAAGGGACCGGGTTGGTTTTAATTCAGTTATTTAATCATGTATTTTAGGAAGATGATGTTCATGTTCTCCTACATTAAGATTTACATCCGTCTCTGTTCACTTCCTCTTTAATATGTGTGTGTGTGTGTGTGTGCGTGCGTGCTTGCGCGCGTGCGTGCGCGTGTGTGTGTTCTTCAGTCTGTTCAGTGTATTCACTCCCTTTCTCTTCTCACACACAGGAAAGCGTCGCCGTCAGACAAAGGATTTCCCGGGCGCTGACATCATCGTCCCCCAGATCAAAGCCAAGACGGCGAGGAAGAGAGTCGGCCTGGTGTCCACCGGCCCCCCCGTCCGTCAACACACCCCCATCCTCAGCTCTGATGGACAGGTTATAGGTGAGGCGTGGTGGAGCGGAGGGAGCTGTGTGTTTTAATGAACAGTGGTGTGAGCAACAGTATGACAAGACAATAATCACAACAATCATTTTTAATAAAAAATAAAATAAAGAACAGAATCTCTTTCACACCAAGGTTGAGAAAAGTTCATTTTGTAAAATCAACAAAAGTAAATAAATAAAAATAGAGAGCACAACCCTCCACCAGAGCTGAACATCTGACACCACACAAACATCTGGATCTGATCCTGGGCCATGTCTCATCCCTCCACCGAGTTCAGTGGAAACCAGTTCAGTTATGTTTGTGATGAATAACAGCAAAGAATAGAGAATAAGAAATAAGATTATAAAGATGAAGATAAAATATAAACATAAAATAGGAAATGTGATGTTAATATATACAATATAAATGTGACATTATATGGTGTAAAGGTAAAAACAATATATTCACCATTTACTGTATATTCATAAACACTGAATCACCTGAACATGTGGAACTAATCAGCTGTAAAACAAAGTGTGTGTGAAACATCCAGTTTGTCCATCGCTGTGCCACAGGGTTTTAATGATCCTGCCACTGGGGGGCGCCACAGTCACACTTTCAACCCCTACACATTCTTTTAAAAAAAGAATTCAATAATGGAAAAGGTTATGATCAATGAGTTGTGACGTCATATGTAACATGATACATCACCAGGTCAATGTGATGACGATTAATTCAAAAGTTTATGTCACATGTTGTTTTTCATGCATCAGTCAGACTGAAGGAAATCCTCATGAACTTAAGCTGTTACCAGTCTCACATTTAGTGAATGAGTGAGTGGATGAATGAGTGAGTGGATGAATGTAAAGACCAACCAGGCTGGTATAAATGGTATATAAACACGTCTGTCTGCTGACTTCAGTGATTTCCTCTGAACATGTAGCCAGACAGGAAACACCTTTTCTTTTCTGTCTTATTCAGGTGAGGTGACCAGCGGCTGCCCCTCCCCCTGCCTGAAGAAGAACATTGCCATGGGTTACGTGGACGCAGCGTTCGCTAAGAACGGAACAAACATCCAGGTCGAGGTCAGGAAGAAAGCAGTGCCGGCCACCGTCAGCAAGATGCCCTTCGTCCCCACCAACTACTACTCTGGATAGGACACACACACACACACACACACACACACACACACACACACACACACACACACACACACACACACACACACACACACACACACACTGGAGCATTGCACTGCTCTGGCCCTGGTTCACTGATGTCGCCCTCTTCTGTTTACCTCTGGAAATACACCAATGGAAAACTGAAAAGTCTGAATACATGAGTTCTGAGAGAAAAAGAGGCACTGAGAGTTTCACAGACACTAAAGTCATTTACTTAATTAGCGATGTACTTAATCAGTTTATACAGGACGTTAAATAGAAGGCTGACTCTACCTACAGCAGTCACATGGTTTCACCTGTAGCGAACTGTGAGCAGTTTACAGATGAGATGGAGTAAATGACATCAGTGTGGTTGAGTCGGATAATGAATGTGTGACCACAGTCTGGACCTGAGGTTCTGTGACATGGTCCATAGACCAGAGTCTGATTTTCTTTTTCAGGTTGAACTGAATCAGCTCGCAGCTCTGGATCCTTTAAACACAAGTATTTCATCAGCCTTTGTTGTAGAAAATATGTTTTACTAATGAAACATGATATTTCATCTTTCACTGCTGGACCAAAACAAAAACAATCCAAATCATTCTTTTCATGTGAAATCACTGCATCTCTGTACTTCTGTTTTATAAGATCTTTTAAATATAGTTTTTTATTAATATTATTGTTAATATAATATTGTTATATTGTTATAATAATATTGTTAAAAGCTTGATGAAGAAGGTCAAACAGGACCAGCTCATAATCCTGAAACATGATTTGTCCTGTTGATGTGATCAAACCTGACCAGTTTCTCTGACTGTTCATAATGCAGTGAACCTTAAAGATAAGTTTACACTACATGTGGTTCACTGATAGTCTAACTTCAGAACATGTTAATGGTCATTATGTGTGCTCTGTCTAACTACTGGTGAAATCTAATTTCTTCTTTACGCTGTGTGTGTTATTTTATTGAAATAATAACATACTAAATATAGAAATAAAACTACTGCTTTAAAGGTAGTCTTGAAGGTGCACTGTGTATGAGTGTGGACTCTAATATTTAGGTTTAAACATTTTAAATAACATTTTTTATCTGATTAGAAAATGTCTTTTCTCCAATAAAGGAGATTTTCTCTTCACTTGTCTGTGACTCACTTTTATCTATTAAAATGTTGTCAATTCATGAAATCGTCGGTCCGGGGAAACGTTTGGTTAAAAATAAGAACTGAACTTTGTTTTTTTTTTCAGATTTTGTCTCATAATTCCGACTGCCCTGAATTCAAATCAAATATTTTAACTGATTTGAAAGTTAATGTTCTGATTTGTGTCTAAATGTTTCAATAGTCTGAGTTGTCAGCGTATTTTCAATATAGACTTTTTCGACTTGACTCGCACTAACATTACTCACATCAGTCTAACCTCAGACATACCACCGGAAACGGGGGATGCTAACAGAGCGAACCTGGCAACCCCAGCAGCCGGTCCGATCAGTCGTTACTGAGGGGAAGATGGTGGACTTCGCGACAGCAGCGTGCTCAAAACTCCGTCCTAAACACTTTGAAAAACACTTAGAGTCTCAGTCTGGCGGTAGATACAGATTACCCGGAGACAAACACAGATAATACAGAGAGTGAAGTGACTCCTTCGCCTCCGGTAACTCTTCATTCCCGGTCTGAAGTCAGCGGAGAGCGGCGGGACGTGGCGGCGGATGGTGTTTGTAGAGGACGCCCGTCGTCGTTAGCTGAAAGTGTCAACACAAGTGAGAAAGAAGAGGGAAGTCTGGAGCGTTTTTACCCAATCGAGAATCAACCACGGAGACCACCCGACCGTCTGCTGCTGCTACTGCCGCCTTCAAACCAACTGAAACCCGCGAGGCGCGGAGCTGACAGCGGGCTAACTTCAGATAGCTTAACTTCAGCTAGCTTAACTCTGCTAGATCTGTTGTGAACTGGAGGATTGACCCGCTGCTCGACATGCCGCGGAGTAAGAAGGGGAAACGTGGCTCCGGTAAACCCGGTAAGTGGCTAACGACCCATCCAGCTTGTGTCAATGAACAGCGGGAGAGTAAAACTGAATATAACGGCTCTGATCGAAGTGTTAATGATGTTTAAAGCAGGCGGCGGCAGCTGAGTGATCAGAGCCATATGTGATGAATGATGAATCAGCCTGTTGCTCCTCTAACTTCACCGTCCATATAGTTTATAACCAGTGCTGCGGTTTAACAGTGTGACATGTATGTTGAATGTTGTAGCCACCACGAGCTCAGGTAAAGAACATGTGATGATTTAATCCAGGACCCGGGTTAAACGTTAAAGTTACATTTTAGGGTTAAAGTTAGCTGTCTTATTTTTAGCAGCAGTATCAGACCTCATGAAGCCAGAAGTGCAACAAGTGCATCATGGTCTTTCAGTTGATTTACAGTTCGTATATTAAGGTGGTTTAAACGCAGTGAAGTCACTACACATGGTTTCTATCAGTGTACATCAGTGGTGTGGACCGTGCATGTGCCTGTCAGGGCGGAACAGCCCTTCACGTTTCATGGAGTTACGTTGCCCGGGTAGCACACACGTGCTAGCGCCTAAAATACACACACACACACACATATAGATTTTTGTGGGGTGTATTATAAAGAGAGGGAGGGCAGGGAAATGCAGTCAGGACCAATTGGAGCATTAAGTCTGATGTCTCCATTATATTTATAAATCTTATGATCACTCACTGTAAAGCTTCCCAGTTAGCTTCTGTGCTGGTCGTGCAGTATTGTTAACTGCAGCAGCATTTTGCTACATAATTCCATCAGTTGAAAAGTGAAGCTCACTTATGATGTTTTCTCCTCTGTCACGATCACTCCTTCATTTTACATCTTCTTTCTATTAATTCACACATTCATCCACCATCCTACCTCCAATCTGTACACCCTCTATTTCATCCATTCATTCATCATCTCCAGGCTCTCTTCGTCAGGAGGTTCTTCAGCTGTCGGCTAAAGTGTCTCTGAAAGGTAACTCCCTCGTTCCTTGACCTTTCACCACAGCTTCATGTCCAGCTCCAGTCTTGTCCAGAAGCTCTTGAAGCTCACCACAGTGCATGATGTAAACCCAGCAGCCAATCACATGCTCCATTACCCTCCGTGTGTGTTTTCCAGCTGTGCTGAAAAGTTTTTACCCATCCCTCACACCATTTCCATGGTAACCAATACCCAGGCTGCTTACTTTGTTGTCTGACTCCATCACAGCCTCTCTGTGGTTCTGCAGCAGTTTCCTTTTGCATGTCAGACTTGAGTTACTCCACCCTCATGAGTTTTTAAAAAATTTATCCATGTCTGACCTTCATCAATGTGATGACGATCATCATCATCATTCATCAGCCTCCACTGACAGCTGGCTGCTAACACCTCGTGTGCATCACCCTGAGTCTGAGTGTGCTCCCATCATGCATTTCACTTAGCCTCTCTTTCTGATCTGCCCTGACACCAGCAGGATTTAGGCGACAGTCATTGACTTCCTGTGGGGACTGTGTTCTCTCTCAAGTCCCGTCAGCGTGACGTTCTTCATACTGAGTTCATATCACCACAGAGCATCATACCCTGACGAGCCAGGTTAATTAGTAACTGTGTCATCGTCGTCCCAATCTGCTCAACTTGTTGTTTATTTAGATATTTGTAGTGATGTGTTGTTGACTGGCTGATTTTTAAATTGAAATGTGCAACTTTGTGCAACTCTCAATATCAAAGTGGACAGACTCTGATGTTGCAGTGTAACATAAAAACAAATGTTTCTGATGAGTCTTAATGATGACACATTTGAATTTTATTGCTTAAAATCCCAAAGCTGTGAATAATCCCAACAAACTGGAGAGAACACAGGTTAATTTAGTTTAGTGTAGAGCTGCATGATATCATATGTGATTATTTTGGCAGATATTGTGATTTCAGTGTGAACGATTGTTTTTCCATTTTCACTGAAAATCTTTTTTAAATGACGTGATTTTTGTTCCTCTATGTCTGGAGAATATGATCTTTAGGTCGTTGCGTCTCTGTAGCACCACAACACTGATGGTGCTAACAATGCTAATGCTAACAATGCACAACGTTGTGACACATTTAACCTTCATCAAAATAAGTGCAGCTGCTGTGATTTGGATATTGAACTTGGTCACATTGAGATTTTGATTATATTTCAATTAATTGTGCAGCTGTAGTAGAGAGTGGAGTTCTGTGTCTTTAAAGCTTCAGGGACTCAAATAGACTCCCACCCTTTTTGGCTTTGGGCAGTAGAGTCTGTCTTCCTCAGGTCAGACTGACTGTTGTAGCTGTGACTGACTGACTGACTGACTGACTGACTGCTGTGTGGGCATAAAGTAGCGAAGTGGAGACGACACGTGAGCCATGGCAGGGAGCTCACACTTCACATAACTGAGCTGTATGTGGGCAGGCCTGTGTGTGTGTGTGTGTGTGTGTGTGTGTGTGTGTGTGTGTGTGTGTGAGTAATCTGTACAGTTGCCAGGAGTTCAAGGATGATGACAGGGCAATGATCAGAGAGCTTTATCTGAGGTTTGAGAGAGAAGCTGCAGGCTGTTCCTTCAGACATTATAATATTACATCATTTTACACAGAGACAGGTTTTCAGAGCTGCGTTCAGGTTCATGTGGTAATCATGAGAAACTGGATTTTATTGTAGGTTATCACTCAGGTGAATGAATGAAAATAGTCCCTGGATTTAATCTAATAATGATAATAATAATAATATGTTAATATAAATTAATATAATATAAAACATTAATAATTATTTTTCTCAGATTTTAATTTTCCCTCCTGTTCCCACTCTGACTGCAGAATATTTAAGATGTCATTAAAACATGTTTTGATTAGACTGTATGAGATCTTTCCTGTTATCTATCTACCATTGTTAATATATTGTCAATGAAGCTCCTGTTCTGCAGTAGAGTTCATGTCTGTGTTGATATTATTCTCTTTCTGAACAGACGTCAGCAACAACAAGAACCTTTAGGATTTCAGACTTTGTGTTGTGCAGATAAATTTACCCTGGATAAGAAAAGGCAGAGAAGAAGACGTGACAACAGACTCCACAGCTGATCCTGCTCGTGTCAAAGAGCTGAACTTTGACCCAGATATAATAGAGCCACTGATTCCTCTGGGGTATTCTGATGACCTGAGGTCAGACACAAACTAATGAAATCAGAGTTGTTGTATTTAAGGTACATGAATCATTATTGATCTTGTATCTAACGCAGAAAAACGTGACTTCATAGAGATGCAGATTCAACAATCGACAATATGTAAAACACATCAACATTAATAAATGTTTTTCATTGAGAAGGTTACACAACTACAACTCCCATGTTGCATCGGTGCAACAATAGATGACCTCTGGGTTACTTCAACTGTCCTGTTTGACCTGAACACACACACACACACACACACACACACACACACACACACACACACACACACACACACACGGTCTGACCCTTCTGGATGGTCCACACTGGATGAATGGTGACTCTGGTCTCCAGTAATCCCACCAACAGTAGAAAGTCCTGAGCCAGCAGGAACCTGATGGGTAGCTTAGCTTAGCCTAGCCGCCTGGCCTCTGCTCCCTGTTCTGTTTAGACTCTAAATACAAACACACAAGATGGAGGTGAACTGCCTGATGGGAAATTCTTCCGTTGTCTCTCCTTGTCATTAACCAGGAGAACATGAGTCCGTGTGTGGGTCAGACTGATGATAAAACATGATGGAGGGAAAAGGTGCATAAAATGTATGTTTACTTACTTTATTTAATCAGGAAGTCACATTGAGATCAAGATCTCATTTACATGTGAGACAGAACAGAAAAATAAAGTTTATAACAAAAGAAATATCAATAGCAGAAATACACATTTCATTGATTAAAAAAAACACTTGTGTATAATATATTCATTCAAACAAGTGGACATGTGTTTATATAAACAGTGATTAAAGTGTATATTTGAATGCTTTTAAATATGCATTTAGATATTATGTAATATTTTATATATATATATATATAGAGAGAGAGAGAGAGAGAGAAATACATTTAAATATATATTTTATCCAAACTAATGTAAGAGGTCTGATATTTTTACCTTTAGTTATTTACAGTTCCTCCACAGTAGTAGTCACAGCAGTGTGAAGAGCTGCTCTCGGGATGTTTATAAGAGGAGGAGGAGGTGTGTCTTCATCAGTCAGAGTCAGTCTGATGAAGAAACGTCTTCAGTGTGTCAGCAGGTGGTCTCATGCTTCACAGATCATATAGACTCTATATAGACTCTGTGTGTCTGAGATGAACTCATGGGGTCCAGTTACTGACACAGACAGACAGCTGAGCAGAGGGAGCTACAGTCATCTTCATTAAACCTGCTGTTACTGTGGAGAACTGGCCCCCAGACAACCTCTGGTTAACTCTGACTTCTTCCTGTTTGTGCTTTTATTTCACTTTCACAGGAACAAGTAGTTATTTTGTCACTCTGTATTAGAGCTGCACAATTCATCAAAATATATTTGAAATCTCAGTTTGACCAAGTTCAATATCCAGATCTCAGCAGCTGCAGTTTTTTTGAAGAAGGTGAAATGTGTCACATTGTGGAGCATTGTTAACTTTAGCATTGTTAGCATTAGCATTGTTAGCACCACCAGTGTTGTGGTGCTACAGAGACGCCCCGACCTACAGATCTTGTTCTCCAGACGTAGAGGAACAAAAATCCCATCGTCTTCATTTTTATATTGTTTTCAGTATGGCTGCTTGAGTATGGCAAAAATCATAATCACAATTATTTTTGGTCAATATTGAGATCACGATTATTTACCTCTATTACTCATTGACTTTGGAAACACCAGCATTTATTGAACTTTTACAGAACTCGGCACAATAATTGTTTTATCTGGATTATCTTGTTTTCATAATTGTTGGAAGACAAAATCATAATGGAAAATAAAATTGATGAATCACCCAGACCTAGAAATCTTAAATTTTCTGCGTATCGTGCAGCTCTACTCTTTACCAGTTTATATGAATCGTAGCCGTTTGAAAACTCGTGACACTTTTAACAGTCATGACGTTGTTCTATTAAAGTGCATCCAGTAAACAAAGCACAGACCCTGAGCTCTGTCCGCTCTGCAGGGTTATTCAAAGTGTGGGTGTTTGTTCTTTTAGTCCCTGTGTTCCAGCCCGATGAGGAACAAACAGACCTGTGGACAATAAAGGCAGGAAACGACTCGTTTCCCAACATCACTGCAGCTTCTGACTTGGAAACTTTCACAGATATTTTTGACCTAATGTTGCTCATTGTTTCCTGTTCTAACAACTGTTACTGAGCTCATCAGTCCTCACCACACTCACCACACCATCATCCAGATCAGCTGATTTTAATTCTCCTTTCATCCAGCAGCAGTTCTGCAGCAGGACTGAGGAGATGCTGAGACTGATTCATTTACAGTATCAGAGCTTGTTGTCTGTTGGTTTGTCTAAACATAAAACACACTTCACCCCCCCACCCCCCACCCCCCAGGTGTTAGGAATGGGGTGAAGGGAGAGTCTGGAGCCAGTGATGATGAGCTGACGTCTGATATTCTGAGCCACTGCAGCAGCGCCAGTGAAACTACATCAGTGCTGGAGGAGGGAACAGGTGGGGACATGAATAGAGTATTATTTATTTTAGATAAGTGCCATGTTGCTGCTTGTAGACCCCACAGGAAGTAAATACAGCCAGTCTCTTACAGTGGACCTGAGGTTTCCCTCTTTAACTGTGGCTTTAAACTGTGATGAACTCAGGAGGGGAACAGGTGGATGAACAGACTGCACAGGAGGAAACGGAAGACAAACTCAAACAGTGTATAGACAACCTGATGGACAAGAGGTGAGAGAGTTTTTAACCTTTGACCCAACAATAACAGCAGAATGATAAAGATTGTAGAAGACAGGAAGTGGAGGAACTCACTTTATCTCTCTCTCTCTCTCTCTCTCTCTCTCTCTCTCTCTCAGTGCTAAGACTCGTCTGGCCGCCCTCGAGTCGTTGCGTCAGGCCTTCTCGTCTAGAGTGTTGTACGACTTCCTGACAGAGCGACGCCTCACTGTCAGTGACTGTCTGGAGAGAAGTCTTAAAAAGGGTTAATTTTCTTTTCTTTTTTTTCTACCGTAATACAATCTGCAATTATTATTACTTAGAATTTTTCCCTCTCTTCTTATCTGTCTTTGTTTGTTGTATCCTGTGTTGTATTCAGTCTTTCACAGGATCCATTTCAGTTCAGTCTCATCATCAGTGTTGAAACTGTTTCCTCTTGTGTGTTCAGGTGGAACCAGAGTAAGTGAAACATGAATAATCACTTCCTGTTCTCTGTGTTCAGGTGGCGGAGAGGAGCAGGCGGCGGCGGCCACAGTCTTCGCTCTGCTCTGTATCCAGCTGGAGGGCGGAGATGAGGCGGAGGAGGGCTTCAAGGTGCTCCGCCCCATCCTCACTGCCCTCCTGATGGATAACAGTGCCAGCATCACGGCACGCCAGAGTGTGAGTGATGATGGGAACCTCCTGCTCTGAGATCATCTTCATTTATAGAGAAAATGAAATCTTATATACATGTCAGCTCTGAGCTGTGTGTAAACGATGGAGCCTAAGCCCAGGAGCTGTATTATAATATTAATGATAATAATACATTTTATTTATAGGCGCCTTTCAAAGACACTTTACAACACAGTGAAAATGTGACAATAAAAAACTACAGATGATTCAGAAACATCTGGTTCAGCCAGCTGACACTCACCTGTCAGTCACAGGACAGAGACTCACTGAACAACATTAAACTTTAAAAATCTGTGACTCATCCTCTGGGCAAATTCAGTTTTAAAGTGGACTGTTCATTTAAGGAGGATCTCTAGGTCTGTTCAGCTGCTGCTTTCTGTCACTGTGAAACAAAGAGGAGACAGAGTGTAGAGACTCTGGAGGACCCTCTACTTTACATTTATATGGATCCATTTATATCAATCTACTTGTAGAAACCACATTATCATTTATTTGGTTCATTTGAAAATGAAAAAAGGAAAAACTATTTTAAGGTTGACTAAGTTACTGAAAATAAATCAGATGATGGAACATGTTCTCACCTAACTGACATGATGCTAAGCTAACCTCATGTTGTGTTCTTGTGTCCCTGTGTCTGTCCCCGTCTCATCACGTCTCATTGTCTGCTGTTTCCTGCAGTGTGCCAGAGCTCTGGGGATGTGCTGTTATGTGTCAGCTGCTGAGGAGGGAGAGGTGAGAACATCTGGTGATATCCATGAATCTCTTACAGGGAAACATCTGTATCACAGTGAAGAGTCTGACTGTTGTCTGACTGTCACATGGTGAAGAGCAGGCCACACCTCCTCGCTTCATGTATAAATCCTCTGTAAAACATGGCTTCACTCATCAGCAGCTGAACTGATCACTGTGCTGTGAAACAGAATCACTTCCTCTCTCTCATTAATGTTTCTCTCTCTGTTTTCCCTGAACGTCTCTGCTGATCTCTCTCAGGACCTGATCAAGTCTTTGGCTCTTCTGGAGAGTATATTCATGACTTCCTACCCCAACAGAGAGGGGGTGCTGCCCACACCTAAACCTGGGAATCCAGGCCTCAACAGTGCTGCTCTGCAGGCCTGGTCTCTGCTGGTCACCCTCTGTCCCGCCTCCAGGCTGAAGGTGCTGCTCGACCTGTGAGTAACGCACACTAAAAACCCAGTGTGATCCAGACTGGACTACAGGGTTGATATGCTCTGTCATGAAAATCCTCCTGTCACAGCTGAAGCTGATTTAAAGGCTGAAGTCACAAAGCAAAATGACCTGACGTCACCAGTTTAACATCTGTCGGTGTTTTTGTCTCGTTTCCACTTAAAAGTCCAAACAGGGAACTCAGAGTTGAGCCAGACCAGGACGTGGCAGCTCGTCCTTCTGTTAATGTGCAGCACATTATCTGTGAGAGGAGGGACACGTTCACAAACACCAGACTTCAGACTCGTGTAGGAAATGACTGAAGAACCTTCAGTTTGTTAGCAGGATCTGTCTGTGTGTGTTTCCTGTCACTGTTATCAGAGTCCACACCAGTTTACACTCAGCAGTCACATGATCAGGTGTTTATCAGGTATCAGCTCAGTTTATTTATGATCAGCTCCCGTCTGCCTGTCTCTGTTCAGACAGTGTGATGGACCATGTTAGTCTCAGGAGTCACCATGTTCATTTAATGAAGGTGG